GTAACGCGCAGAGGACGGGCTATCTCCCCCTTTACCTATCTCAGCGTTGACCAATCCAACGAAAACTGACATTTTATGAGGGGGGGGGGGGCTTAAGAATAAGATATATTTTATACAAAGAGAAAGTAAAACAACACTAAACTATTCTATTTTTCGGAGAATTTCTTTTTCCTTGTCAGTAAAACTACGACGTCTCCTACATAGTATTTTTAGCATAATAAATAAACAGAAAATGTTTGCAACTGTGGTCGATACTATTACCTATCACGTTCCTCTTTCAGGTTACATTTTAATTATGTTATAACTCGAAAGTCAGTAATCATATAGTTTCGAGAATAGATCCTTCTGTTTTTTTTTTGTTTTTGTTTTATAGAGAAATTATTTTTCTTGAAAATGAAGTAGATAAATGTTTCTTGAGAAATATTCGATTTTAGAATCGTAATCAAAAAGTGTTGTGCACATTTCTAAAGTAATCACATATTTTTGCATGAAACTATAAATATATATTTGCTTATACCATAATAAAAGTTCTATTAATTAATAATTAATGCAAAATAATAAATGTATAAATTAAGATATTTTTCTGTAAGCTTTTATATATGAACAACAATTGATATAATAGTGATAAAAAAGAAAAAAGGTCGCATGTTGATTTATTGCTCGTGTAAGAAAATAATTAATCAAATAAAATTACACAAAAGAAATAATCGAACCGGTTTTTTTATCTTTTTGTGCACAAGAAAGATTAACATATAGATAATATTTTCTCTGATTTACATAAATAATCTATGCTCAAATGATGAACAAGAAAATAATTCAATTTTCTGTTAACATGAAATTTATTCATGCGTATTTATATTTTTGTTTCTAGATTTTTTGTTTTTCAATTAATATCCATAAAGAATTTTGAATAATATAAACAAAAATTAACTCTATTATAAATAACAATAAATAAGATCTTTGAAAAGAATATGAAAAACAATAAAATAAAGTTTTCTTTGTTGCTCTTTGTATTGTATTGTTAGTATTTGAAAATTGACAATTAAAATAAAAATAAAATTTATTAATTAATTCTGTGATCATATTTCAATAGAAGTAAACAAATCAAATAAAATTCGCTTAGTAAATATAAATAGATGAAAAGAAAAATCAAGCGAATTTCTGAAATTTTTCAAAAAAAATCAATTAAATAAACACCGACGAATGCTATATGAACAAGAGATATATTATTTTCAAAAAAAAAAAAAACACAAAATTATTTTTTCTTTCTTATTTTAAAATAAAATAAAAGATAAATCGTTTTAAGTTGCTGCAACACGTTTTTTTCCTGTCTTTTTCATTGATTCATTGTTTGTAATTTTCGATGAAGCAAGTCGAATTTCGTCTTCAATTTTCCTAACCAATGGATCTTGTGGTAATAATGTATTACGTAAAATATCATTTGCTTTATGCCAATAGGTTAATGCTTGTTGTGATCGATTTTTTGCAGCATAGACTGCAGCCATATTTGCATATGTTAAAGCAATAGCAGGATGTTGTAATGGAAATGATTTAATTTGAATATCAAGTGCTTTTTTATAGAATTCTAATGCAGTATCATAAGATCCAAGATATCCATTAGCAGCAGCAATATTTTTATATGATACACTAAAATCAATATGATTATTCGGAAGATTTTTTTTTTTAATATTAAATGATTTTTGATAAGATATAAGTGCTTGAGAATAATTTCTTTGTTCTTCTTGAACAGCACCAATACTATCATAAAATCTCGCCATCATTGGATCCATTTCAGCATCAAATTGTTTGAAAATTAAAATAGCTTTACTAAAATAATCTAATGCCTTATCATATTGACATTTGTTTGCATGATAAATCATGCCAATTGTATTATATGTATCACCAATAGTGAGATAATCAGATGGACGAGTAATCATGTAGATTTTTAATGCTTTACGATACCAATATAAACATTTATCATAATCATCTTTATCTTTAGCTAGTAAACCAAGTGAAGGATATAAAGCATCAAGTAAAGGATCATTATGAGGAAGTTGTTTAAGCATACGAATTAAATATTTTTCAGCTAAATAAAATTTGTTCATATCTCTTAATATCATTCCTAATGCAAGAAGATTTGTTTCTCCATATCCATATTCTTTTCTTATATTTTCGAAGATTTGTTTTAAATCTGGTTCATTATCATTACATAATTTTAATTTAATAATGCATCTTTTATTTTTGTCATATGATATAGAAATAAGTCGAAAAATCGAACCAACCATAAATAGAATATTCTTTTCATCATTTTGATCATTATCGAAATTAATATCAGCAAAAGGTATTGAAATATCTTCTCCAGGATCAGCTTCAATTTCAAATAATACTTTTTGAATAGGATTTGAAGGAGTTGTTTCTTCTAAATCATTTATAACTGATTCTTGATTTGTACTTGCTAATAAAAATGAATTTATAGAAATTAATTTTCCAGCAAACTTTTTTAAATAATTTAATTTATTTTTTGATATTAATTGACCTTTATATAATTTAATTGATGATGGATATTGATTGTATCTTAATTGATAACAAATATCTCGAATAAATGGTCGAAATAGATAAATAATATCAATATTTTCTAATTGAAAAGCTTTATTCAATATTTTTTGTAAAAATGGTCTATGAATGAACCATTGTATTGCTGTATTAGATGAATAATTATGTTCAAATTCGCGAAGAGTAGCTAAATGATTCTTATTACCTTTGTATTCTTTTTTACAAAGATAAAAAAATTCATTTATATCTTCTTCATTTGATCGTATTCGAAGTAAAATATCAATAAAAATTTGAAAATAAATACAAGATTCATCAAGTTTTGTTGTTGATATATTTATATCATCATTAACATTTAATGGTTTTATCGATAGAGGTTCTTCGATTTTCATTCGTATTTTCTGATCAAGTTCAATTTGAATAAGAATATCATCAAATTGATTTGTTATGGCTCGAATCTGCAACAATTATATGATATGATTAAGAAAAAGGAAAAAAAAAACACAATCATTATAAATAAATAACCTTTGAAAAATTTTTACTCCATTGTTTATGTTTTTTTTCATTAGAACAATAAACATAAATAGAAGATACTTGACAAAAATTATGAATATTTTCTACTAATTCACGACTAAATTTATCATTAACAATTAAAATCGACCGATCTTCTTTTGGCATAGATTGAATATATTGTTGACATTGATCAATTTTTTCAAATATTTTCAAATAATTAATAATTGCACGTAATTTATGTTCATTATTTTGATTTATCTCATTTTTGTTAATTTCGCCTCTCATCCAGAGAAGACTAAATGTTTCAAGGTGATCATCATGTAACACAGATTCGTCGTTAAGTTGTTCAGTTTTTTCCATTATTATCACAAATTTCAAATAGTTAAATCTTTTAAGTTTCTAGTTTTTTTTATTTAACGCAAAATACTCTTAATATTTTATCAAATTCACAATGCTTTTAATCTTCACTTGTATTATTGTTGAATCTTGCTGTTATTGTTTCATTTCGTTTCATTTCGTTTTGTTTCGTTTCGTTTCGTTTGTTGATGATGAAAAATTGAGTAGAGAGAATGTATATGCGTGTATATACATAACAAGTAAAACTGAACTTGTTTACAAGATATTTTCATTTATTTTTGTTCTGCAGCTACACTTAATTGTAAAGTGATGAGTGATGTTTTTTTATGGAATAAGAATTGAAAATTGTCAACGGTTTTGAGATGTATTCATCATGCCTATTATGTATTTTCGTTTGAGCACATTAAACATTTTTCTTTGTACATTTTCAATTGTATAAGTCGAAAAAAAAAGAATTTGTGGAGACAAACTGTTTTCAAGATAGATTAAATAGTATTGAGAGACAATATCAACAATTTCATATTTAAATTAAATTTAAAAAATTTATCTAAAATTTTCTTTTCTTTTAGATAAAATATGGAAAAATTGTTTTTGATTAATAATTATTAATGATAAAAAAAAACAAAAAAAAATGTTTCAAATCTTATTAGAATATAATTTTATCATAGTAGTATAAGTTAAACATTTATTCTGCGTAATCTTTTTCTTGTTCATTAAATAGTTGAATAATTTCAATAAAATTTAAACGTAAATATCTTCTTTCTAAATAATTAACATAATCATTATAAATTATTTTATCATATCGCCGATATTATCCTAACAAACGTTATATTTTATGTCTGAATTATGTTCATGACCAACTAGCAATTTTATCAATCAAATAAATGTAATGATGTGTTAAAAGAATAAGATCGTGTTTGATGATAAAAATGTGATTAGATATAATAAATTGTCAATTGAAATAAATTAGTTTGATTAATAATGAAATGATTTTTTTTTTTTTTTTTTTTTTTTTTTTACATTGAATTTTATTGTGCCATATAAGGGTTCACAAGTTACACACAGAATAGTAGATAAAAAGAGAAGGAAGATAACATTCTTTACGAGAAAAATTGATGCAACACTACACAAATATATTAGAATATCGTTCAAATCTGTCGTCTGAATATGATTGTGTGGCCTATTGCCTGAGGATAAAGCGCAGAAAGAAGCAGAAGAACATAAATAGAAAACATAATTAGAGATAATGTATAATAAAAAATAAAGGAAAAAGGAAAGGAGAACAGATAATGTTAATAACATTTAGTTTAACAAATTAATTAGCGACATCTTTCATAATTAACAATTACATATATTACAATTTTTATTCGTTTAGACTAGTTGTTTATGGAGGAAGTAAGAAATATTTGTAAATGAATGTATTTGTATAATAGGTTGAAAGTTTGTAATACTCATGTTGTTTCATGTGGATGGCCCGAAATAATAGCCAATCATTTTTACTATGCAAAGCTCTCGCGGATAGTCTATTTGGGAAGAAACTATTTTTCCTAAAGCCCATACTTTTATACCATGTTTTGTCTCGTGACGTTGCTGTTAGATAGGCTGTCCAAGTATGCTGATATTCTATTGCTTCAGGTGAATTTTCTAGATGAAGGGAAAAACGTGACCAGTATGTGTACAGATAGTCGTATAATGTTTTTTCTTGACATAATATTGAAGTTGTTATATCATCCCATCCTGATAGTCCGTAAACTTTTCTTAGACCTGAACAAAATGTTGAATTTATTTGTTGTTTTTGTTTTTCAGTAAAATAAAACCAGGTTGGTAGCAACCAAAGGAAATGTGGAAGGGCAAAGGCTAGAAATATTTTTCGACGAGTTTTTATATATCTTCTTGGTAAGTTGTGAAAAAGAATTCTCATTGCATTAAATGTGTTTCTTATTTTTTTAATCTTGTTGTTTATATAGCTACCCCACCCTAATTTTGTTGAAATGGTCACTCCTAGATATTTGAAGCTGTTTACAAATTCTATTCTTTGTCCATTATATTCGATATTTGGTAATGTTGGTGCTATTACATTGTGTACTAATAATGCCTTCGTTTTTACTATGTTTACAGGTAATATATTGTTTACTGAGAATATTTCTAATTGTTTCATAATATGTTTTGCCCTTTCTTCTAACTCGATTATATTTAACGAGAATTTTTTCTCAATCGAACCAGTTAATACCAGAGCAAGATCGTCTGCAAAAAGATGAGATGTGATTTGAACGAAAATGTTGGGTAGGAAGTGTATATGGAGTCTGAATAGGGTAGCTGCTAAAATGGATCCTTGTGGTGCACCTACTAGCATGTTAATGGTACGAGAGGATGTATCACCATGATAAATAGAGAGTGTTCTACCTTTTAACCATGATGCGACCCATTTTAAAAGGGGGAGGGGCATTTCTAGTTTTTTGAGTGTAGAGATAAGAGCGGGAAACCACATTTTGTCGAAAGCCGATAAAAAGTCAACAAAGATTACTAAGGCTGGACGATTGCATGCGGCTATCGTAAGTCGAATATTTTCTATTAGAGACACTATTCGGGTTTGTAATCTCCTACCAGGTGAAAATCCAGATTGTTCGTCCACAAATATATTTTTTTCATCGCACCATTTTTGAATTCTACGATGTATGATTCTTTCATACCATTTACCAATGTTGGGTAGAAGAGAGATAGGTCTTAGTTTGTTTACAGGTGGAAATAAGCCCTCTTTTGATAGACAGATTACCTTAGCATGTTTACTTTTCTCAAAGAAGTTTCCTTTCGTTGCACATTTGTTAAACAATATTGTTATAATTCCTATATATTCTAGAGGGAGTTGTTTTAACATATAAGCTGATGTTCCGGTACTATCTGTAGACTTTTTCGCCTTAAATTTTTTCCACTCGTTTAAAACTTCATCCATTGTTATTTGTTGTAGCGGAATGTTTGGGGTATACTCCAATTGTTTGAAATGCTTCATTGATTCAGAATGTATTGAATTTTTGATATCATATTTGGGCTCTTGAAAATGATTTTCGAAATAGTCTGCTAGTTTTTCAACTATTGTTACAGAATTAGTTATTTTTTCTGATCCCATGGTTAGACCACGAAACGGGGGAGTGAAACAATGAAAAGATGGTTTAACAAATTTCCATACATTTTGCCCTTGTGTTATCCACTCAAGTTTTCTTTCTCTTCTTTGATGTAATAAATTAGCTCGCTCTGTGAAATATATTTCTTTTAAGGCAAGAAAATTTTGTAAGTTTGATATGGAACGATATCGTCGATATTTACGGCGAGCTCTATTTACGGATTTAGCAAGTAAAACAAGTGAGGGAGGCCATGGTGGTCTATATTCAGATATTACTTTGTAGGTACTACACTTATCCCATAATGATGAGAGAAAGTCTGAAAATAGATCAAAGAAAGTTTGTTCATTTAGATTGTAAACTACCGACAGCCAATAATCATGTACAATTGATAAAAAGAATGAGAATACTTTCCAATTTGTTTTCCTAAATGATGATTCCTCATTTATTGCTATAGACGATTGAAATAATATCGGGTAATGATCGGATGTACCCTCATTTAACACCTCTGAAGTCCAACCGGTAGCGTCGTGTGAAATTCCAAAATCTATTATTGAGTTTGATCTTTTAGATGTTGCGTTATTTGGGAGAATTAGTTCGTTTCCTGTTATTTCCAACCAGTTTAGTAATTGTACTCCACTTGTGTTATTTGTTTTACAGCCCCAGCTAGAGTGTTTAGCGTTGAAGTCTCCAAAGACATAATAGGTTTTATTCTGTTGTTTTGATAATAATTGAAAAGGTGGTAAGGATTTTGGAGGAATATATATAGCACCTATATATATGGGTTCAGGAGATAAAGCAACTTCAACCATTATATAATTCAGATCTTTTTCAATTAATTTACATTTAATCGATTTACGATATAAAAACATTACGCCTCCAAAGGAGTTGGTGCCAGGTTGTGAGATTGAAAGATAGTCAGGGAAAATAATATTCTTCTTTATAGCTGCTCCAACACCAGTGAGAATACAGATATGAGGTATATAACTCGTTAATAAAACATCCACATCATTTACATGAGTATTAAGACCTTCAACGTTGTACAATAGTAGGAGTAGATTTTGTTTTACATTTTTAGGACGATCTTTTTTCCATATTTTACATAGATTAGATACAGATAAACGCGAGTTCCATTCATTTACTATTTCTGAGAGTATTATTTTTTCACTTGATGTTCCTGTGAATGAGTCGAGATTATGTAGGGGTATAGTCGGCGATGAAAAATGAAAAAAGCTATTGTCCATCGTTTGTTATTAGGCTGTTTATTCCTTTTACCATTAATACATTTTGTTGTTCGACTAGTGAGTTTAGTGCTTGTTGGTTTGCTGATAGTAGGTTATTTCTATCTTTTATAAAATCAAGTGATTGAGTAATATGACTCAATATATCTAGTGTTTCATAACTATCATTGGTATTGTTATTTAACATACTGGTTTTTTTGACTATACGTTGAACTACTTCTAATGTTGATGATAGTATTGGTAAGACTTCGTTGATGGTGGTGTAACAACGTTCAACACTTTCATTTTGGTTCTTTGCTTGTTGTGATATGATCAAGAGTATTGAACTCATTTTCTTCAGGTGATCTTCATACTTTGTTTGAATATTTTGTATTTTGATGTTCATGTCTTCTCTAATTTTATTAATTTCATCTTGTTTTTGCTGCATTTCTATCCAAACTGATTGTTCATTGAGTTGCGGTTTAATCTTCATATTTGTATTATTGATTAGTGGTGGCCATTGCTGAGAAGATAATGAGAAAGGTACTGTAGTATTACTTGATAAGTTCTTGGAAATGTATTTCGGATTGAACAACATTCTTCTATTTTGACCATTTTTATTTCGACATTCTGATGGTACAAATAATTGTATATTAGGAGGCAGAAGATTGGGATGTTCTTTGAGTTGATAAAGAAGAGATCGTCTGTAATCTACTAAGAATTGACATTTATAATCGGTCGATAAGTGGTTTTGTTGACATCGATGACATTTGATGGTACATTCCTTGTGTTCTCCAACAGTTCTATCTGTCCCACACCTACGACAAGCATCATATATGAATTTACAATTATTACGTGTGTGACCTGGATCGTTGCATTTTGTGCAGATTAATAACCTGGGAGGAGCTAAAAATTCTTTAGCTTCTAAAACGTGACCATTTATTGTGACTCCTCCATTCTTTATTATTTGATTGTATTCTGAAGATGATGTAAGTTCCAGCCGTATATGTCGATATTTTTCCGTCATTGAACCTTTCATTTCTTCTATATTATATATTGATTGTATGTATGTTGCAATTTCAGATCTGATTTCGTCTTGAGTTATATAGTTTGGTACGAATTTGAGAACAATTGAGTATTGCGGTGGAAGATGTTTTGGTGAGGAAGGTATAATATTTATGTTGCAAAGAGTTGAAGGATAGTTTTGAGTATCACAAAGATACACATAAAGTTCAATATGACGTGTATAACAAGCAATATCGCCATTTTTGTCAATATACCAGTAATCGAAACCTAGTGGGTATTCGTAATGTTTGTTTATCAGTCGAAAACTTTTATTAATATAATTTAACAATTCTTTAATTAAATCTTTTGCTTCATTTTGATTGACTTTAGGTTGGCAACTTATTTTTAATGGTGGAAGGTGATTTTCAACTGCATATTTTATTGCTTGATTTGAAATTTCAATATTATTATTATTCTCATTTGAATTATTATTTGTTTTATCATTTTGTTCTTTAGCTGATGATTTTTGTTTTTGTACATTATTAAAGTATGTAGTGTGATAGGATCGAACATTAGACCTTTCGTCATTTATATTATTGTTCATTCTGTTTTTACTATTTAGAAATAGACGTCCGTTATTTCCATTGGAGTTGTATGAAGATAAAGTTGCGTGTTCGATATTCAACAAATCGTCATCATTGTTTGCATTTCCATTGTTATGATTTGTACGTCGATGTTTACGTTTGTTGTTTTTACTGACTGTAATAAATTGATCATCGTCTTGTTCATTATTATGTTCCTCCATTGGCCCATCATCATATAGACTTGTTGAAGTGAGTTGTCTTTTAAATGGTTGTTTATTTTTGTTTATTAAGGTTGCATTACATGGTTGTTTGTTATAATCAATTTCATATGCATGGTCTACATTGTGGTCCATTAATGCCACCAAGTCTTCACCATTAGAATCACATATGCGATCTTTTTCTTGGGACGTCATTCTTCCATATTGATTATATGTATAATATGACATTTTGTTTTGTGAAAAAAATTTTTATTTAATAAATTAATTTCAAATATTATTCTTTGCAGCTTACTAACACACGATGTACTATACTTGGTGTATATGTACATAAAGCAAGGAGAAAAGAGAATACGTCTTACTGCTGACGTGCGATAATCGAAAGTGAATAATGAAATGATTGTATCTATCTTAGTGTTTAAGTTAGAAGTGAGAATGAAATTAATAGAGAATGGTAAAGATAAAAATAATTTTTCTATCTATTTTAAATATGTTTAGAATTAATTTTTAATTGATGGACGTTCTAAAAGAAATCTTTTAGTAAAGATAATATTATAGGAACAAACATTAAAAAAGATATTGTTCAAGAAGAAAAGTGATGAATATGAAAACGATAAAAACATGTTAATTATTTTTCAAAACATTATAGTTTGAGTAACATATTATTTTTAACTATGAAAATATTAATAGATTATTTCAGAAAAGTTTCATTATATTTTGTTGAATGTGTTTTCGATGGAGCATAATTATTCCATATATTAGAATATTTTAATAATCAAATGAAATATCTTATTAAATCTAAATTTACATCAATAATCAACTGTGAAATAACTCTATTGATCAATTGAACTAAAATTAATTTGACTTATAGAATCGGTAAGAAATAAATTCATGTTGATTCAATAAAATTATCTTCACCGATTTATAATTTATAGAAGAGTTGTACCATAATTATATTTATCTCTGCTATTTTCATTCTCTTCTATTCAAAATGAAATTGTCTATATGATTTTCTATTTATTAACTTACTATGGTTTTTCTGCAATTATTATTCATTGTTGACATAAACATTTATAAGATAGATATTATTTAAAATAATTGAAAAAAACAAAAAAAAATCAAAACAGAATTTGTTTAGGCAAAAATGAAGATACTCATGAAAATAAACAGTTAAAAAACATTTCTTCGTTCACAGATCATTGATTATTAATAGATATTGATTATTGTATCATCGAATATTCTTAAGTAAATTCTATTTGATAATGCGCATCTTGTAATATGTGATAGTAGTTTGAAGGGTAATACTTCGAATGAAAGATTTTTCATTAATTGTGATGATAAAAATCTTTTTATATATTATTAAATATTTGAAAACTACGTAGTGAAGTAATACATAGTATGAAAAGTAATGAATCATTTCGAGAAAAACTTATTATTAAACTTTATTTTTCTATCTATTAAGATTTGAAAATATTTTAACAAAACAAAAATTTTCTATTATTAGTTAATTAAACATTTTTTGAAGAGAAACAAAAATTGGACGAATTTTTATTGTAAATTTAATGAAGAATAATAATTAATTTATCAAAATATTGTTGTATAATTTGTTCTTTGAAATATTTCATAATAATTAAGTTTTATGAATTATCATATCGATTTTTAAAAAAGATAATAAAATATTCTTTTTTTCTATCACTTTCATATAAATCTATGTATATTAATTAATTATTATATATGATATAACAAAATAAGTTAAATACAAAGAAACGACAACACATTACAAAAATTATATTAATCTTAAAATGATAATTTATCTTCTTTCTCCGTTCTATTAATTCTATAAATTGATAAAAAAAGTAAATGACAAATTATCTATATTCACTTTTATTGTTCAAAATCTTTACATCAGCAATTATTGTTACAGATCTAAGGGTTTAATTCCTGAAAATTATGTTATTGAATAATATATATTCGACTACTTTAATTATATATAGTTTATTTAATAATAATTGAATTTCTTAGATTTGCACAACTTCATATTTATTTTATTATTTTTCGATTTGTGTATGTCATTATGCATATTATTCTAAGATAAAATGTGAAAGACAGTTATATTTAAATTGAGAATTGTAATACATATTTAAATATTCTGTTTATAATAGAAATTAATTATTTTATTATGTTGTCAACATAAAAAAAGTTAATTTAGATTCTATTTATATTTCAATATTATTAAGTAAAAACTCGCTAAGAATATTCTAATATATTGTTTTATATTTATTAAATGTTCATAAATTTCAATAATGTATTAAATTTATTCTATCAAGCCCAAATAAAATCCGGATCATTATGAAAATTATATAAATGATTTGGTTTTAGAAATTGAAAATTTTTCGTTCGACCTTGTGGATAAAGCCATTTTTCTAAATCATTCAATCTTCCAAGATATTCCATAGCATGAGCAGCTGCTTTAACAACTTTTTCATATGAAAATGGATTAATATTTGTGATTGTATCACATTGTTGATGATAACATGGATCATAAGCAGCATTGGCTATTCCACCGTTTCCTATTCCTAATATTGCTGAATATTGATCTCGTTCATTGACTGATTTAATTCCTCCAGCTCCTGTATTAACTCCACCGACTACTATGCCTGCAGCTAGAAATGGAACATAATCACTACCACCTCCAAGTGAAGAATTACTCCAAGGAAGTTTTTGTTGATTAAACCATTGACGAAATAGATCTGTAATTTTCCGAGTACCATTTAAAGCCATTTCTGGTGTTGTCAATGGAACTGTTGAACTATCTAATCTTGTAAGCGTTCACCTAGAATGATAGTAGTTGGCAATGAAGCTTGTTCGACATGATGTCTAGAACCAAGAAGACCAAGTTCTTCAGCACCCCACCAACAAAACCGAACACGATATTGATATGTAGAATAATTCAATGAAGATGTTTGAAATAACCGAGCTAAATTAATAGCTAAGGCCAAAATAGCAACTGTACCACTACCTAAATAAAAATAAAGAAAATTATTAATTTAACAATATATCGTTATTTTCTAACCATTATCATTTATTCCACTTCCAGCTGATACTCCATCACTATGAGCGCCAATCACAATTGTTTTAGTTGGATCTCCTGTTTGTGTATCAGCACAAATATTTTCAATGCCATTTGCGTCACTGACGTTAATATTTATAATGACACTAACATTGTTCACTGTATTGACTAATTGCATTCCAAGATTATACGATAAGAAGTAGGCTGGAATTGTTGTATTTAAATTATTTCTCACTCCTTGTATTGGATTAAAACCATCTGAGGATATTCCATCATTGTAAATGAACAATCCTTTTACTTGATATTTATCAGCTAATGCACACTTTTGGGAAAATGAACAATTACCTCGTTTAACCAAAGCAACTGAATCAACTTTTGATACATTTATCCAATCATTATCTTCACAACCTAAATTTGGAATAACAACTATTCGAACAAATTCATCAAAATTAGCACCAGCTGAAAATAAAATATGAGTAAAATCTGTCAAATAAGTATGATTTATTATAAATCCATTTATTTTTGATTGTAATTGTGGTGTTTCTTGAACAATATGATTTCGAACTGTGAAATACCAATGTTGAATTTTGAAATTTGTATTTTGTTCGAGTTGATTAGTAATATAGTCGAGTGTATCGTTAAATCCTCGAGTTGCTATTGCACGTGTTCTATTATCAGTTCGATCAGCAATAAGTTGAAGTTGTTCTAAATGTTTAATTAGATCTTCAATTTTTATTTGATCAGAAAGTAAAATTGATTGATTATTAATGATAGAACTTGTATTCTTTGAATCTAGACGATTAATAACTATACCCAATATGGCTGCAGTAAGAGCAATAATTGTCATTGTAAAGAAAATAATCAATCCAAATAAAACATATATCCATCTACTAGGAATGATAACAGATTTTGACTGATTTTCATTTGATACTTTATTCATGTTAAAAAATAATTCGAAAGTTAGATATTTAATGAAATCTAACAAATAAAATCAAATCAACAAATATCTTTAAGATTAATCATAGAAAAAAAATGTTTTATTTTGAAAATGATAAAAAATATTTTATTATTCTTCTATTAATGTTCAAGTAGACAATTATTGTTGAAGATAAGGAATAAAAGTTAACTTAATCGATGTTAGTGGTGATTCACTCTCATTCCTATCCCTTGATGTTTTTCCATCGCTCTCCTTTATCCTCCATTGTTGCTGTTGTTATCTCTCCTTCTTTTCTTTCTCTCTCTCTCTCTCGCATTGCGTAATATATATGTGATCAAGGACATTTTTTATATCACACTTTCTTTTGGAAATAAAATAAGATAAGCTCGTCGAAACGAGCTAACAATTTGGTGCCGTGACCCATCGTCTTCTATTTACTACATCGAAGAAGAACCAATTCATATTATTATTTACTCATCCGTAACGGAAAGAGTGAAGTACAATCTTATCCTTTTAGGAGAAGAGAGATTAAAAATTACATATATATATTATTTACGAATTTTATTTATTATAAGAAGGTAATTTTCTTCTATATAAAGTTCAAATTTTGTCCTTCCTTTAAGTGCATATTTTTTAACAACGGCTACCGGTACAAGAAGCGCGATTAAACAAAGTGGTGCATACCTTCTACCATACGAAATTATTACAAACTCACCGACAAGAATACGAAATAGAAAACCAAACGATATGTCATTGATGCAAGAAATTGAAACAAATTCAATGGAAACTCGACAACTTCATTCGAGCCAAAAAGAAGCAATGAAGAAAATAGCTGAATTTTCAGGAGAAGCAAATGAACTGGATATTGATGAATGGTTATTCGATTTGAACAATTTGTTTTCATTAATGAAATTAAAAGATGAAACAAAAATTCTCGAAACAATGGGCAAATTAACAGGACCAGCATTACGATGGTATCAAGAAAATTTAAGATCATTCATTAATTGGAATGATGCTGAAAAAGCATTACAAGATCGATTCAAAGAATTTACATCCGATAGTCAATTAATGCAAGAATTTTTTCATATTCATCAAGAAGAAAACCAATCGGTTACATCATTTTATGAAAATGTTATTCGTAAATATAGGAAAGCCCGACAATTCATTACCGAACAACAAATTATTACAGTATTACAAAATGGTGTTAAAAATTCATTAAAAGAACATTTAATTCGAAATGAAAAAGATATTAAGAAACCAGAAGAATGGTTGCAAGTTGCTCGAGAAGAAGAATATATACAGAAGCGAATTCAACAACAAAGTAATAGTTTGTATTCTGAAACAAAAAATAAAATATTTTTTGAATCTATATTACCAACTGCAACAATTCAACCAACATCATCGAATACTGAATCATGGAGTCAACAGCCATTTATATCACGTCATTACGATAAAAAACAACATCAGCAACTACCATCATTAACAAATAATCGAATATATCCAAAACAAAACAATTTTTTTAATCTTAAACAAAATCAAAAATATTATCCAGAACAGAAAATACAGAAACCAGCTTCATGTTTAATTTGCAATCGAAAAAATCATCCAACAATTAAATGCTTTTATAAGAAGGACAATGGCTGTTTTAAATGCGGACAATCAAATCATCAAATACGTGATTGTCCTGAACGACATTTTTTCGAATAAAGGGATCGGATGATGGCGACGATCCCTGTGGAGCCAAAAAGTCATCAACCACAACAGCATTTACTCCCATTTTTGTTAAAATTATATGCAACAATACTCCACAGGAAGCACTTATCGATACTGGATCGGCCATCACTATTATACATCAATGCTTATTAAATGATATTCCACATGAAAAATTTATACCAAAAACAAAAAATCATTTATCAGCAAATTGTTCAACATTAAATATTTTTGGCGAAATACCATTAGAAATAAATGTTAATGGAATAAAAACAACAGTTATTGCCGACGTGACAACAAATCTCGTTACAAATTTAATATTAGGTAGTGATTGGATTCAATCAAATAATGTTTATATTCTTACACCTGAACAACGAATTATGATCCGAAGTCGAGGTAGAGAAGTATCAACTCCTTTTGTAAAACCACCTCTCTTAAATTATCCAGCTACTCTTATTAATCATATTACTCTTCCTCCTTTTTCAGAAAAAATAGTAGAAGCAAAAGTTCAACACAACAATAGGATAGATGTATTATTTGAACCAAATCCTCGATTAAAAAACAAAGCATTATTTATTGCAAGTGCATTACTCAACATTGAAAATAGAAGAATAAGAATTAGTATAATTAATGCAACGAATCGGCAGCAAACACTTTCCGAAGGAACGAAATTAGGCATAGCAACACAAATATCTTCTACAATTGGTGTTACCATACCATCAGATCATTTAGAGGAACGCATTCCGACAGGAAAAGCGTGTACAGTGCTCATTCCTAAAGGAAAAGAAGCAAATACATCGGATAAATTAAATTCCAAGAATATGCCGATTACTACATCATATGAACAACAACATCAATGTCGTAAATGTCATCAACATTTCGATACTGGAAACAATCTGTTTAAACATCTCAGAAACAAATGTTATCCTGAAGACATAAGACAACAAATAAATAAATTAATCGCACATATTAATGATGATAAACAACGAGAACAAATTTTAAAAATTTTCTGGAAATATGGAAAATTATTTGACATTAGTGAACCCTCAAAAATTGACATCATTTTAAAAAATGCTATTGATACTGGCACACATCGACCTATTCATACTCCACCATATAGAAAATCCAATAAAGATCAAGAAACCTTAAGGAAAGAAACAGAAAAATTATTAAAAAATGGAATTATTGAACATTCAACATCTCCATGGTCATCACCAGTTGTATTAGTCAAAAAGAAAGATGGAACAACAAGATTTTGTGTCGATTATCGTCGTTTAAATCAAATTACAACAAAAGATGCATTTCCTCTACCAAGAATTGATGATATTTATGACCAATTAACAAAAGCAACATACTTTACAAAATTTGATTTCAAAGCAGGATATTTTCAAGTGCCATTAGACAAGGCAGATCGACCGAAAACAGCATTTTCAACCAGAGATGGACATTTTCAATTTAAAGTATTACCATAAGGCCTTACTAATGGACCACCAACGTTTCAAAGAATTGTTAATCAAATATTAGGTCCAAATAGATGGAACCATGTACTCGCCTATATCGATGATATTATTATTTATTCACAAAATTTTAATGAACATTTAGAACATATCGAAGAAGTATGTTCATTATTACATGAAGCGAATTTTAAATTAAATATTGACAAATGTGAAGTAGCAAGACCGGAAATACTATTTCTTGGTCATTTAATTAAAGCTGGTACTATTAAACCAGATCCAAACAACATCCGTGGATTGACTGATACACGAGAACCAACATCAGCCGAGGAAGCATTTAGATTCGTGAAAGCAGCAGAATATTACAGAAAATTTATTCCAAAATTCTCCTTCATCGCCGCACCATTACATAAATATTCACCAGCAACATTACAACAACAAAAGAATAACAAAAAATTAAAATTTGAATTATCTGATGAAGCTCGAATAGCATTCCATCAACTCAAGAAAATATTAACAACCGATCTCATTCTCGATTTACCTGATGACATATTACAATTTAAATTACAAACTGATGCTTGTGTGGATGGAATTGGCGCTGTTCTGTTACAAATTACTCCCAATGGTGATCGACCATTAGCATATATGTCAAAGAAATTAACAAAAACACAAACTAATTGGCCAACAATTGAACAAGAATGTTACGCAATAGTAGAAGCAGTCGAAAAATGGGACAAATATCTTCGTGGACATGAATTTATATTAGAAACTGACCACGAACCATTAATTAATTTTGCAAACAAGGAACAATTGAATAAAAGATGTGAACGATGGCGATTAAAATTAGCTGAATATCGATTTAAGGTGAAACATATTCAAGGCAAGAAGAACAATATGGCAGATTATCTTTCAAGATCGCCGGTGGAAGCAGCTCAAGAAGATATTGAAGAAAGAATCCAATATACATCAATATCCACACAAACAGATTTATCATTTTCATCATCAACTAATAATAATTTAATTCCATTAAAAATAACAACAGCAATCACTAGAGCTCAAGCCAAATTACAACAATATGCAATGGCAACACCATCGATTACACCAACGGATGAAAAAAATAATGAGCTCATCCCACAAGGGAAAGCAGCGATTGATAAAGAACCAATAACAAAATCATCAGATGAAAACCTGAATAAGATCATTCCATTTGATATGGATGATTTAAGAAAATGTCAAGAAGAAGACCAGACAATACAAGAAATAAAAAAGAATATTAAGAATAAAAAACATTATTTCATTGAAAATGGAATATTATTTAGAAGACAGCAGCTACCACTTTCACCAGTACCATATGTTCCAGACGGACGAATACGTGCTGATATATTAAAAATTTATCATGATACACCTGGTAATGGAGCTCATTTTGGTCGAGACAAAACAACAAGAAAAATTCAAGAACGTTATTACTGGCCAACAATGATAGCTGATATTAGAAATCATTTAAATTCATGTTTACCATGTGCACAAAATAATTATCGTCGTCAAAAATTACCAGGAAAATTAAAACCAATACCACCACCAGAAGGAATATGGAAATTATTGAGTATGGATTTTCATGGTCCAATAACTCCAACATCAAAACAAGGAAACAGATATATTATATCTCTAACGGATGTATTATCAAAATTTGTTATTACAAAAGCTGTTCGAGATTGTTCAGCAACAACAGCAGTGAAATTCCTTATAAATGATGTTATATTAAAATATGGAACGCCAACATGTATTTTAACTGATAATGGTACACATTTCACATCTCAACTTATGAACAAATTATTTGAAAATCTTGGAGTTACTCATCTATATTCTACAGTATATCATCCACAGACAAATGGACAGATCGAACGATTTAATGCTACAATGGATGGAAAAATTGCCGCTTTATGCAACGAACGACGTACAAATTGGGATGAAGTATTACAATTTGTTACTTTTAATTATAATACATCAATACATGCAGCAACAAAACAAACACCATTTGAAATGATGCATGGACGACAAGCTACTCTTCCATTTGATCAACAAAATGAAATTATTTCACTCACACAAGATCCAGAGCATAGTCAAAAAATTAGAATTTACCTTGAAAAATTAGTAAATGAAGCTCGGAACAATATTATAAGAAATCAACAACAATATAAAGCTCGATATGATTTACATAGACAAGATTTATTATTAAAAGTCAACGATTTAGTTTTAGTAAAAACAAAAAATATTAGAAACAAATTTGATATACGATATGAAGGTCCATTTAAAATTATTAAACAATTAGGAATTAAAACATTCATTGTTCAACATGTAAAAAAATTAACATTAACAAGACAAGTGACTATGGATGTTATCGTTCCACTGGTGGAACGATGGAATTTAATTCAATAAGCACATCCCAAAAAAGGGAAAGATGTGGGACATGATAGTATAATTGGTAAAGTATAAATATCAGTAAAAAAAAAAAGAAAAAACAGAAAAAATAATTAATTAAAATTAATTAAAAATGATTGAGTTGGATTCAGCAGTCCATGCCGGGGAGACAGAACTTCACCTTCTCACTGACAGGGAGGGGTTGTCTAACTCAAACATTCACTTTAATTGATTTTATCGTATGCATTTTATTCATCGGATAAATTTATTATACGCGATGACTCATCATCCAATCACAGTGCATTATAATCGAGGCACTTTTACAGGACTGGCCATACTGTACGGTGCAAAGAATGACGCACGTGTTACACATCGATAACTTTACTATAATCAATGCACGAACATGATATATATATGTTGACCACATCAAAGGAAAGAAAAATTTTCGTATACGAACACTAATCGAGCAGTGCCAATGTATACAGGAAAGAAAAATTTTATGGATGAATAGTGACCCAGACATATATACATAAAAGAAAAGAAAAATTCATCTTGTTACATTATCTAACAATAACACATATCATTTCTATTATAGCTAACTATCACCATGTCGCATGCAACACGCGATCCGGATAATCCACCAGCTTACTATTATACGTTAACAGAAAAGCAGCAACACAATTGGCGAAAAACAGCAAAGAAAATAAAGAAAAATGAAGATCTCCAAGTAAAATATCCACCATTCAAGTCATCATCAAATATCAACATCATTCAAGTCATCATCAAATATCAACATCATTCAAGTCATCATCAAATATCAACATCATTCAAGTCATCATCAAATATCAACATCATTCAAGTCATCATCAAATATCAACATCATTCACATCCACCATAAATCCACCATCGATACAATAAATGATCTCATCATATTAGCAAATCGAACAAGTCGTTACACAGTGGACACCAAATCTGAACGAAAGAAAATAAAAAAGGATGCACTTATACAAATCCAATTTTTACACTCGACCGATGCATCAACAATTATATTATTCGAAACGGCATATTTACCTAATCCACAAACAACGTTATATACAAAAATTAAAGAACTCTGGTCCACCATATTTAACAACAACAACAAAATCATCACCTGGGGAACGGTGCACAATGAATTTAACAATTTCTATCACCTCGACTTCATCAATTTAGGTAATTCATTTCAACATGTTAATTTACAACCTTTATTTAGGGGATGGCATAATGAACGCTGTGTAACGCATCCAGAAATGGAAAAGCGTGAAAAAAAAACGGACCAGTATCATCCAATATGATTGATATGTCTGGTGATGATACTGATGATGATATGGACGATGGAAAATTAAATGATTACTTGCAATATCAATGTGACCATATAACTCATTACGATGACAGTGCAACCTGGTCATTACAAGATGCTATTGCAACAACATTTAATAAATTTTTGGATAAATCACAAACAATTAATTTTTGGCGATGTGGTATTGATTTAGAATTAAATACATGGAAGAATAAATTATTTAGTCGACCACAATACAACAAACATATTGAACAACAACAACGATTAAAAATGAAACAATATGCTACAGACGACTGTATTGCAGTCGCAGAATTATTCCTCCATATGTATCCAGAGACAACAAACCATCATCAATTACATGAAGTACCACAACAAACAACAACAACAACAACGTCAACAAACATATTAATCGATTTTGAAGATGATTTATCAAATATAAGTGAAGATGAATTAATTGAATTAATTAAACCAAAATTTAATAAGAAAAAAGAAGAAATTGTACATCAACCACATGATCCACCAGCCGAATTAATAATAACAACAACATCAAATGAAATTAATGAATTTAATTTGGACGAACAACAATTAGAACAACAACCATTAAATGCACCATCAACAACTTTATCAAAAACCGAAAAACAACGTCGAAAAAACATGAAACTAAAATGGAAACAACAGAACCGACCAGACTTCCAAAATAAATTAAAACGACCAATATATTATAAATATGACTTTAGAAAAATACGAGCTCAACTACGTGATGATAACATACATACAAGTCATCAAATAACAATCAACCGTAAATATAATGAAGTTATTATTGGTTTTAAATCCCGACAAGAATTAGAACATGCAACAAAAATTATAAAAATAAATTATTTTTCAAAATCACAATATGCTGATCGATGGGGTAAATAAAAAATTTCAATAAATAAAAAAAAAAAAATAATAAATAAATAAATAAATAAATATATAAAAAAAATAAATAAATAAAAATAAAAAAAAAAATAAAAAAAAAAAACAAACAAAAGAAAAACAAATAAATAATTAGCGACACTGGATAAGAACTTACAAAACAACAACCAACCGAAACAACAACCAACCAAAACAACAAACAACCATCGTTCACAACATCAATAATTGTCAAGGTTCATTAGCTCGATTTAAACAATCATCGAACCAACAAATAATACAATTATTTTTTCCATCAGCAGATTCATTAAAATGATAATCAAACATGACTTAAATAGGGTCGACAATCAATCTGATCATATCGAACAATCAACCATTATTATATGATTACAAACATGTTATGATTTTAAATAGTTTCATCTTTAAATTGAACGTATTCAATATCATGATATTATACTATCAAAAAAAATGATATATAAGTGATTATATAGGAAAACCTCAATATATATATATATATAAAAGGTAAATTAAATTTGAACTTATTATAGTAATTTTTTTTCATTTTACATACACAACAACAACATAAACAACATCAACAAAACAAACAACAATTGAGAATAAATAACAAATTATATTCTAGTAACCCGGACAAACAACAGTACGTTTTATTATCATGTGTATAAATATACAAATTTCTATGAATTTAAATGATCATTTGCAATGACTAAAGTTCATTAAACAATGATGATGTTATTTATTCGAATAACTCTTGGTATTTTATTGAAACAAATATGGATTTATTAATTCAAATGATTATTAATATATTTCTTCAAACTACTATGAATAATGAATTCAGTTATTGAATGATCATCAATTTAGTCACTCGAACATATTATGATTTTGTTTATCAAATAATTATTAACTTATGATTTATTTAAATAATATGATTCTATCAAGTCCAGTAATTCTCGGTTTAATTGATTGAGACCATTATCAATTTATCTAATCATATTGAATTAAGATTCTCTACCATCCAAGAATTTAAATAGTAATTTATCCAACAACACATTTGAATGTTGATGTTTTCTTATTGTACATTGCAAATGTAACAACATTTATTACATTAATGATAACACCATGGACGAATTGAAAATATGTATAACTAATAGAAACAATAGATTCTATAGTAATCAATTATAAAGAAATATTCAAGTTTATCAACATCAACAATTACTTCATAATGAACCAACATTTGAAAGCGCTAATGATGATCCAGATAATAAACATATGGATCTATCAGGTATATTTAATCGTTCAAATAAGGATTATGTCGTTTAGTTATTATTGAAAAAACGTTCATTATCACCAATTATACTTTGTATTACACAAATATCAATTATAGTTCCTCATATGTTACAACACTTAATATTAAAGAAATAAAAATATATACAATATATATATATGTTGTTATTGTCTATTAAAAACAAATAAATTTCTATCGAACGAATTAGCAAGATCATATGTATTTATATATATACGTGATCTGGTTCCTGATCTATTAAAATTATGTAAAATATATT